TTCTCTGACAGTGACTGAGTGGATGTGCTCTCTTCGTCCTCTGGCATGGGAGCTGCCTTGGAGCTCGTCTGCCTGCCTGTGTGTTTCCTGGACGGGGCCGCCTTTTACAGCTGCTTTTTGTATCTCTGCTTCTGTCTTCTTGAACCCCAGTCGGCATCGGCAGATGGCCGCTCACACTGAGCCTGGTTCTGCTGGAGGTTTCTTCCTGTTAAAAGGGAGTTTTTCCTCTCCACTGTCGCTACAAGCATGCTTAGTGTGAGGGATTGTATTTGAGTCAATGAGTCAATGCAATCAACTGGTTTTCCTTAGATAGAAAACTTTGTATCAATTTGACTGTATGATCTGGTTGAACTGTAAACTGCCTTGAGATGACATGTGTTGGGAATTTGGCGCTACATAAATAAACTGGATTGAACTGAATTGAATTGAACAGTGTCAGAAAGCTTGGTCTCAGATGCAAGTCATGGGTCTTGCAACAGGATAATGACTCAAAACACAAAGCTAGAAACAGTCAAGAATGGCTAAAGGGCTTATTCTGGGGGTGGGGGTTCAGCACAAGCTACAAGCTGACCACACCACACCACAAGAGGATGTAGAAAACAGCCATTTACAACTTTTTCAAAGCCTCTTTGTTTTGTCGAGGAGTTTTACAGTTCTACAGTCATTTATTTCCAGGAGTTTTTCCACAACCTGTTGATGGTGATATTTATGAGCTAAATCACATATCTAGCTGTTTACTTTTGAGAACCCTTGCCAGAAGGAGTTGCTGCTCATTTGCCATTCCTTCTAAAATTTTCCAAGGTGCGGGGTGCGGAAATTTTGTCTACATGGATGCTGTGCAAAGGGTCATGGAAGCCAAAAATTGACCTGGCGGATGCATCAAGCATAAACCAAGCTCACGAGGAAAAAATAAGAACTTTCTGGAGTGGCTTTTTATGACCCCTGAAATCCTAAATCTTATTGAGCAGATATGAAGGAGCTGAAACATGTGGTCTGAAATAAGCATTCTTTGAACCTGAGACAACTGGAGCAGTTTGCTCAGTGGGCCAAAATACCTGCAAGAGGAGCAGAAGTCTCACTGACAATAAAAAGAATAATTTAATTGCAGTAATTACCTCAAAAAGCTTGTGCAATGAAAGTTTTTACTAGTTTATTTTTTAAGATACATAATTCTGTTCAAGCGTAGTTGTTCTACCTTTCAATTTCTGTGATGGACTTGTGACTTGGTCCAGGGTGTACAGTACCCTGCCTTTCGTCCATACACTGCCCAGGATGAATGGATGGCTGGAGTGACTTTCATTTGTTCATTTTTACAGAATTTGCTCTCATTAGTGCATTTGTCAAATTAAAGTTGTCTCTATGACCATTCTGGCCTTTTCTTTTATTATACAATTTGTACCTAAAATACATACATGTGTAACCATGCGGAGTTATCATCTCACTTCAGCTTAACACATCACAAACACCCAATACGTTACACTGCATTTATTCAAATGTTTAAAAGAAAACAATTTGTAACATTGTGAAAGATTATCCAACTTAAAATTGTCTTAAAGGTCAAATTAAAGAGATTTTCATGCTTAAGTAATTTCTTCCTTAGTGCATTCTCTCCTGCCTGTGGCAACTCTTGAATAATCACTATGTAGACTTCTTAGATGAGAGTTTTTGGGTTTTTTTTTTTTTTTGCCGTTAGCGGTATGAAAATGGTATAGAACAGAATATTCTCCTTTGTGGAGAAATTAACATGGCAAGAAGTGAAAGATAAAAGGAAGAAAGATAAGAAAGTTAATCATATAAACCACATACCCTACATAGTATAAATGCACACATCTCCATCCTCTTAAATTTGAGCTTTTAATATTTGTATGAAAGGAATAGATATACAGGAGCACAATGAGATCTGTGTATATTAGAGAAAACTTTGGGAACCCCAACCTTTTCAGAACTGAATCTGGATTTAAAGAAGACATCTATGAGGGCTAGCAGATCAACATGAGTCAGAAGAAAATTACATTAAAACTGCCTCAAATGTAATATGTCACAATGATAATTCTAGCTGCAAATTAAGAAAAAGAGAAACCAGAAGCCGCTATTCATTTTTGTGTTTACGCTGTTCCTGCTGTAACACTCCTTTCCTTATATTGTAAGGAGTCCGTCTTTCAGTAGCAGCTCTTATCCCTGCACACGGCAAATTATATTTGTAACAGCTGGAGTCCTACGCTATCAGATAAGTCATGTTCTCTTTCCTGTTTGTTTGCTGTCCTCTAGAAAACTTTTATTTACAGATGGAAATATTTCAATTTCTGTAAAAACTAAGCACAGCCTCTACCTATACTGAGACAATAGTTTTGTCTTATTAAGCCCACAGGCATCAGGAAAGTCTTCTTTTTCCATGAATTGAATTTTATAATTTCTCTGAGCAGGTCTATAATGCATTTTGTAAGGCACTGCACACCTTTGATAGATATTTTTTTAAGTTTTAACATCTGTTACTGGGTAATGGATCAAATGGATTCCAAATAAAGTACAATTCCAAATAAAAAAATTAATATTCATGCAACCTAATGACATTAAATTGGATAATTGGGAATCTTACATGACGGTTATGAAGATTATGCTGTGAAAAAAAAGACTGAAATAATAATATTACAAATGTTTTAATAAAAAAAACTGTAAGAAATAGTCCACCATAATCTATGTAGCTGGTAACATTTTGAGTGTGTGAACATTGACTGTAAATGTAGCCCTGAGCCAATTTCATCTTCTTTCAGGAACATGCTTTTAAAAGCAAAGGATTCCAGATATCTAAAAGCAGCATGTATAAATATATTTGTGGGTTTCAATCTAAATCAATTTATATTTTTCAAAGACAGTAACATCTGAGGTTTGTGATTCAGAGTTAAATATGTAATCTTACAGTTTAGCCTTCCCGCAGTGTATAATAAATCTGAAAATGACAGGTTTATGCACAAATTTTGTAATGTTATAACCAATAACTTAAATTTAATTTACCGGGATGTTATGCAACAGGCAACACAAAGCCGAATGTGATCAAACACGCCACAGAGTACACTGTAAAATAAATAAACCTATAAACTGTTCCTTACTGCAAAGGTCAAATCTGGCACTCAGTTTGGTTATTAGTAAAAATATTTTAATTGCAGTAAAATACCAGGACTAATCAGGTAAGTCTAACTAACACAATAAACCTAAAAAAATTAATTACAGAAAAGCCTTAGGCAGGAATCAAACTCATGATCTCGATGCTGCGAGGTAGCAGTGTTACAAACTACGTCACCATCCAGGTTTCCTGACTTTTCACCAGTTAGTCACGCTACGCACCAAACAGGGCTGCAGTCGGAATCAAAATTGTTGACTTTTTCTAACAGACATAAAACGTAATTATAATGCTTCACAAACTGCTGAATTTAATAAACTAATTTGAAGATACATCCCTTTTTGTTGCATGGTTGAGCAGAGCAGTTAACACTTGGCACATGTGCACATTGTGATACTTTCATGTTATATTTTCTAGTGTTAAAAAAGGTGGAATATTACTCATTAAATTCTAGTTAATTTCCAACCTAATATGTAATTAAAAAAAAAAAGATTTGTATGGATTTACCATACACCAAAATCCTTCCTTAGATTGTACAGTTCTGTTTATAGAAGCCATATTGAAAACTTGTGAAAACTTGATTATTTAACTACAATGACGAACCTGCAAAAGATAATTAAAAGCAGCCAAAAGGAGTTGCAAGAATCAACAGCTCTGAATTGAGGACAAGATGACCTGACTTCTAACACACTCCACATTTCTGTCTTTTATGTATAGAAAAACATTATTAAACAACATATATATATATTTTTAAAAAAGAAGCTTACAATGCATATGCCCTACACACCAAGCAGGGGACTTGACTCAGATGCTCTGATCACACACACACAAAAAACAAAATCAAAGTCTTTGCGCATACAAGAACAACCTGAACTGTTAACAGAAAAAAAAAACAGAAGGAAAATGTTGCCCTATTACAATCAGTATTTTGAGCTTAATATTTAAAAATGTTTTTTGGATTTGCAGTTTTTCCTAATGTGGTGCAGCCCCAGCCTCATCCTGTTGGTCACTATATCTGCCACTTCTCTCAAACTCTGGTTAAAAATCCAGGTCTAGATCTTTCCACTGAGTACTGTGTCCAACCATGTTTGAAGTGCAGAAACAAAGACTCCAGTGAAATAAATTAGCTAAAGCTTTGCACAATAAAATTAACAGGAGACTGAAACTTTAAGGGGATTTACCATTATGTAGCAACTCAACAAGTCAGTAACTGTTCAGCAGACCTTATCTCTAAATCAGGCATTTTGAGTAAAACTCCACACATAGATTAAATACAGACTGGAAAGGAATAGCATTCGAAACACAGCACTGACACACAGTATCTCCCCCTGAGGATGAGGATGAGTCAGAGTGTGAGGTGCTGGAGGAAATGTGAATGGGCATGGGTAATGGAAATGAATACAGCATGAATTTTATATTAAATTACTTTACATACACTGGGCTCCGGGGGTGCGTTCCAAAAACAACCTCTGAACATTGTATCCTTTTGGTCCACAACCAAATAAATAAAATATAAAGCTATGTCTGCAACATATTCATGACATTGGATATTTCCTTCCCATTGTGTGCAAATATTATCTTTAGACTTGCACAGATGACCCCCATCCCTGTCTTGTTTTTTTGTCAGGAATGGGCAATCTGAGAGCCAATTTCACCTTCTCACCTGCTAGGGGAGCAGCAAAATGAACTAAAGATATTAGATTTCTTTCCAACTCAAAATCTATCAAGGCTTAGTGCGTAAAACGGCCACAATAAAGTGTCTGAAACATGAGACAATCATTTACAGTGGAAGTTAAAGAAGCTCAGCTTTAACTATAGCATGCCACCTCAAAGCGATGTATATTTTTACATGGAAACATGCATATATGGTATTTTAAAGTACCTTTAATCTGAGTCTGGGTCAGGTGGATGAGGAAAAAGAGGACAGGTACGTCCATCCTGCAGTTCCGAACTTTCTCTGCTGAAACGCCCAGATCAGTCAGATTTATTCTCCTCCGCGTGAAAAAAAACCCACACCCACAGAAAAAAAAATCAATTATAAAGTCCAGCTCCGTCCTAAAACTATTAATTCTAATAATCTGATTCGTTTGAATGAAGCCCTCATTTAGGACTAAGTAACTTCAGGAGATAAATTGAATCCGAGCAGAGACAAAGCAAGTCGGTGCGTAAAGACAGCGACATCCAGTCATCCGTAAAAAGCAGAGCCCACAGCAGACACGCTTCCTCTTTTCCTCCCTCAGCTGTACTCACACTCTCTCTCCCACAATGTGACACGCAGTTTGCTTCTCACCACACAAAGCACCGCGTTTGACCTCATCCTTGTTTAAAACATAGAGATCAAGCAGCGCGCCCTGCTTTGAGATGCGCCATATGACGCGCGCACCGGTTGCCAATGGCGCATCCGGTTTGATAAAGTTGGCGGCGGCCGTAGTGGATAACCTGGCTGCATTACCAAGCGCTGGTTTTATAGTTGCTGCAACAGAAGCCGCACGCAGTTTGCCTTTCTGATTTACACAAAAAAAAAAAAAAAAAAAAAAAAAAAAAACAATAACTACAACAAGCAGATCAATCTAATTGGCTGCTGATTTGTTAAACTTTACATAACAAAAATACAATGTCCACATTTTGACGCATCATAAATTTCAAGGTGTTTTATTGGGATTCTTCACCTAGTAGGCTAAGGTAAAAAAAAAAAATTATACAGAGTATTTGATAAATAGTTACATTTCCTGGAAATTAAACTCAGTAAAGTTTGGAGCAGATTTGTATTTAGGATTTTTTTTCCCACTGATGCTCCTATAAAAAAAAAAAAAAAAAGAAGAATTATATATATATATATATATATATATATATATATATATATATATATATATATATATATATATATATATATATATGACCAACAGAGGTCAGCTGCAATCTAAAAAAAAAAAAAACTAAACTAAAACAAAGAAACAAGAAACAAACAAACACATGGTTTTCCAATTTACCAGGCCAGACAGGCAAACTTGCAGTATACATCAACACCAGAAACACACAGGAAGCTTGTGCTAACTTTACAAGACTTTTTACGGCTTGAGACTGGAAGCAATAGGAAATGCTTTGATATTTACACAGATGCCGGTGTATTTAGATTTCACCAATTTCTACTTTTTCAGACCAGGATTTTGGGCATCTGGCAGCGACTCATCGCCTGAACTGAAGTTCTGAAAGGAGAAATGAGTCGATCACAAATGATTGTGGCTGAGTGGTAGCTGAAGGTCTGCACAGACTCTCAACTGAGTTTTTCCCTCTGCCATGAATTGCAGTATTTCCCACAGGCTCCATGGCACTGCAGCATAACGAAGAGCCCTCATCTGTTCAGAGAAAGGGATCGATTCTACTTTTGAATGATAAAAGAGCAAAACACATCTTCTTTAAAGACCAGATTAACTGTAGAAGTTAGACACTAGAAGAGTAGCTTACCAAGCAGCACACTTTGCAATGGATGATGGAGCAGGTGGAGCAGGAACAGACGGTGGATGCCAAAAAAAAAAAAACAATATTTGAAATAAAGTAAAATAAATGAAATGAAAGTTTAGCTCAAGTGCAGGAGCCAAGCACAGAGCAGCCACTAAGGATGTTATCAACCCAATAAATGGCTGTTATAATTCCCATAGAATGGCTTCACGTTGTGACCTCTACCTTGGCTCAGTAGGTTGTCATCACCTAATGAATCCTAATCCTAAAGAAATTCCTTTTTATCTGTTTATAAATAAATTTATGTGTAATATGAAAATAACTTTAGCAGTTCTTCATCTATTGCAAAAAAAAAGTTGATTGGCATGCCGCTCATATCAATTCTATTCAATTCAGCTTATACCTATAGCACCAATTCACAACACATGTCTTCTCAAGGCACTTTACAGTTCAGCAGATCATACAGTCAGATTGATTCAAAGTTTTCTAGCTAAGGAAATCCAGTTGATTGCATCGACCCATTGACTCAAATACAATCCCTCACACAAAGCATGCTTGTAGCGACAGTGGAGAGGCAAAACTCCCTTTTAACAGGAAGAAACCTCCAGCAGAACCAGGCTCAGTGTGGGCGGCCATCTGCTGAGACCGACTGGGGTTCAAGGAGATAGAAGCAGAGATACAAGAAGCAACTGTAAAAGGCGGCCCGGTCTAGGAAACACACAGCAAGGGAGACGAGCTCTGAGCCAGCTCCCCTGTCAGAGGATGAAGAGAGCACATCCAGCCAGTCACAGTCAGAGAAACAGCACTACACTGGAAAACAGGCCGATCTCCAACATTTTTAAACAAGGGTGTTGATGGCAGCAGTCCAGCTGATATTTCTCTCCAGGATGGTGTCACAGCCAAACAGGAACAACGTTAGAGATTGAACTAACAGATTCTACAGAGTGGGAGAATAGAGATAGAATGAAGCAGAATAACGAAATGGGGGTCCCTAGGTCCTCCAGAAGTCTAAGCCTATAGCAGCATAACTATAGAGATAGCTCAGGATAACCTAAGCCACACTAACTATAAGCTTTATCAAAAAGGAAAGCTTTAAGCCTAGTCTTAAAAGTAGACAGGTTATCTGCCTCATGGACTAAAACTGGTAGTTGGTTACACAGGAGAGGAGCCTGATAACTAAAAGATCTGCCTCCCAATCTATTTAAAAAAAAAACTCTAGGAATCACTAGTAAACCTGCAGATTGAGAGCGAAGTGCTCTGTTAGGAA